CGCTGATGGTGATGGCTTCAACTATTCCACATGCCTGAAGCTGGCTAAGAACCTGAGGCACAAATTGAGTTGTTTTAGGAAAACTCTTGTTCTTTGTGGAAGCTGCAGTGAAGGTGTGCATGGGATGCCCTCAACCCAAGCCGTGTTCAGCTCTGCTCAGCCACCACGCTGGTGGTCAGGGAACAAATGGAGAGGGTGGAGAAGGGGATTACACAGCTAATGAGCATTTTCTAACACCCAAGCAGACTTTTGTTGTGGGTTTGCACTGTGAAGATATCTTTGTGAGCAGGGTAGCCATAGCCAGATGAACTTTACCGACTTTGTGAGCTGAGAAGCTGTCATCCCAAATAACCCGTGAGCACTGTGGTAAGGGAATGTACCATACAGCAACAATTAAGTTGCACCTGATCAAGCTGCTGATCTTAACAGTGCCATTTTAGACATGCTTCATCTGATTCTGAAAGGACATTTATCTTGGAAATTTCAAAGGAAAAAACATTCTTTTGAAATATACTGTGGAAAGAGATTTACAAGTAAATCATGGCCATCTGAGACTCAACGCAAAGCCCTGCACGTTATTTCTGGGAAGTTTCTGACTTAGTAAAGAAAGGTTTTGGAGAAATTACCTCTTCTTTTCTGAAAGTCCTTGCCTTGCAGTCAGCATTAGGCTTGATGCATCGGATGTAATGTGGTTTGGTGCTGTTCAAGATCTGCATGAGATTTTCAAGTGAACTCTGCAAAGAAATTCAGGAGAAATACTGAATTCCTCCTCCACAGGTAGTTTAGTGAATTGGTGCTATTCTATAGAAGCAATTGAGCTCCTTTTTTTTTTTCTTTTTTTTTTTCCCCCCCTAAGAATGACTTTATGCTCTCAGCATTAGCACAGCTGATATCAATATGGATTCTTTTAAAAATGACCGATGGCAAATTCAGAAAGTTTCAAAACTGTATCGGGGCTGTTAGTTGAAGCTAATATATCAATAAGAACACATACAAAAAAGCCTGACAAAGGGAGATGCCCAGCTGTTAAGGGTAAAACTTGAGTGAGTCAAAACTGCAAACCCAGAGATTATCAGAGCCTGATGCCATTTCAGGTTTACAGCCATCTCATTTAATAACAGTTACTGATCTTGGTCCATCTCTAATGTTTTCTCATCTAGTTATGAAGACAGCATTAGAAAGCAGAATCTTGAGTAGTGCATGTACCTTGAACTTTGACACCACTGTAACAACAGCCGCTCTGCTCTGCGTTTTCGTATTATTTTGGTGGTTTTCTGCAATGGGAAACAATTTCTGAAGCAAAGTGTCCTTAGAGTTTTGAAGAACACGGACAAGTTCTGGTGGAATGGGGTCCTGCAAGCACAAATGTGACTCATTAGCATTTGGAGTTACACAGAAACCTGTCACCTTTTATTCACATCACTATAAATTCTTCCGATGTAGATGGAGTTGTACTTCTTGCGATAACTGACTGAGCCACAGCTGTAGTTTCAAATCTGCGATGATTTATTTGGAGTAAGATGTGCAGAGTCAGTAAACATTGCTGGATATACAGACTAGTGATGCTTTAATCTAAATCTGCTTTTGGTCTGTTTTTTTAAATAGCCGTTTCTGAAAACACCTACCTTATTTTTCTCCACCATTGCTGCCAGCTGGTAGCAGACTTTCCCAGCATAATGTGAAATAATGAAGTTTGGCTTCTTACTAAACTTGTCTCGACTTAAACATTGATTATCAGACAAAGCTTTTTCAATCCGAGTTTGAAACAGGTCAGAGTTAGAGGATCTATTCAAACGGCATTCCTGCGTAACAAACAAAAGATGTCTTTTAGTAATTAAAGGCAACATCTGGCAAGTTTCATTCTAATTTAGCACTTGTGTTTTCTTTGCTGGTTTGGAATGGACGGTGTGCAAGTAGGCCAGAAGGATTAGCAGTTCGCTTACCTCATTCAGCAGAGAAAAAATGCTGAGAGGGTTGCCCTCTATCAGGTCAAGGCAGCTCTGGTTGTCCTGGTAGTTTATGAAAGACCACTGTAGACCTTCAGATGCATATTCTTCCTAAAGTAAGAGAGAAACTGAATGTTCTGCAGCAGAGGGCACCAGAGCTCAAATAACTGCCTGTTTTTTCTTAGCATATGATGCAGTTACTGTTTAAGCAAACAAGTTAATCACAGACTCAGCCTACTCATCCAAAGCTCAGTTCATGAGTTCAGCAGGAATCTTAAGAAAAAAAAAAACTGAGGATATTTTATCCCAAGTAGCTTCTGAGTACATAGCAGCAGATCCCACCTGAACAATTAGATTCATTATTTGGGAACTTTACAGATTTATCAGTGAGAGTTTCATAGCTGCTTTACAAAGTAAACAAAGTCACATTAAGCTCTGCTGGGTTTTCCCTTGAAGGGCAGGGAACTGCTTAGATTGGGACACAGCCCTGAGCCTACCACTGTGTGCCAAACTTTACCAACCGGTCTTACTAAACCAGTCTGATCCAAAAGGAAATGGACAAAGGTATCAGATGAAGCCATTTGTACAGTATTTATGCCGAATTATGGAATAAACTATAAGGAGTGCTTAATAAGCAGAAGCCTTGGCTGGTTATTTTACGAGTCTCCTGCCAAAAGCTTGCTCAGCACAGCCACTAATGGCATTCGAGTGGTCTGGGACACAGCCAGATCAAGAGAGCTAAGAGGGTAGGCAGTAACTGGTAGGAATGCTATTAAGCAGAGGTTATGAATCAGTGAAAAGTGATTGTGTGCTTGAACTTAGTTTCCATCTTTGCTGACCATTAACTCCTGGCATACTGACAAAGGCAGGTGGAAAAAAAGCTGGTTAGTATATGAAAGCACAAATTAAGGGCAAAGAGGTACTTATCTCTGAATAAATGGATACAACTATGCTCTGAGGCAGAAAGTGCCATCACGTTGGTACCATTAAGGAAACAATTTTACAGATTCCAGTTAATGACAAAGATCACTGTGGTAATGCATGTGTAATAGGGAGAAATTCAACCAGGACTGAATGGAGTCTACGAGAGCAGCAGTCTGGGCCTGACAGGAAGTCTGCATCTCTCAAAGATATTAGATGAGACCTTGAATTAGTGTGCATGGCCAGTCAGGTTAGTGACAGCAATGTATTTAGCACATCCTACTGTTTTCTGTGGCATTGTTTGAAGGTTGCGGTCTGACCAGAAGCACAGAAATACAATCAGAGAGACAAAAGATGCTGTTTTAAATCAGATATTTGACATTAGGTCTTAGTGGAGTGTTACCTGTTGCGCCTTCAGATAGTGTGCTACAAAGTGCTGCTGCAGTTTTTCATTGGCATAATTAATACAAAGCTGTTCCAAGTTGTTTTCAGGGAAGGCTTCAAAACCATAAACATCCAACAAACCTAGGAGTATCATAAGGTAGTGCATTTTAATCTAGGAATAGACTGAACGGCTTAAGGTTGCTCAGTTAAACCAGGGATGAAAAACGATACCTATGAAGCTGGTCCACAATGATGTATCTGCGTAAATGCTTTCATTTATGACCAAAACAAGCCATTCAAACAATCTGTGGACAATAACAACTGAATTAGTTGGAAAAGTGCTTGCTTTTCTTAGTGCCCAAACAAAATCCGTGCAATAAACCAGAAGTTCTCTGTAGATCGAATAGATACTGCAGCGACATCAGTATCTGGGGCTGAATCAAAGGTGTGTCAAAGGGGAAAGGCAGGGTTATACTATTCTTTTGTCCAAGCAGAAAGCCAGGGAAAGGAGGATTCCCTCACAGAAATTGCATGGATTAGCACAGCAGCCTGGCCTGCATGTCCTTACTTAGCATAGATCACTTTGGCAAGGCAGTCCCTCCTAGTGTCACATTCAGTTCTAGAGCACGGCTTCTTGAAGACTTGCTGTTGTTTTCCAGCAGTTATTGTTCGAATTCTTAATGATTCCAGCAGCTCGTCCACAGGTATCTTCAGCAAGTCTCCTGCAGTCTTCACAAAGTCTTACTCAAGGAAAAAAAGAGTTTCAGGATTATCTATCTGGAGTGTCAAATGAATGCAGGTCCTTCTAGGTTATGGAAGGTCTAGGGATGATACTAAAAAACCCAGCTCTTCTGTGAATTGCCCAACTCAAATATGGGATTTTGCATCGTTTTACCCAAACTCAGAAGAAAGTTTTGTACAATCAGCCTCTTAATTTGCATGTACAGTATCCCTAGAATTGCAAGGACTCTATTTAAGATGAAACAACAGTATCAAAAAAAAGTCTGAAGTTTGCTACACTGAAGTGAGCACTACAGAGGTTACTCTCTAGGTTATGTCCTTGTTATTTGTTCACCTTTTTTGAGCAGAAACTTCTCTTCATTAGAGAAATGAGTATTTGCAAACAAAGGATTTAAGATGTTGCTAACCTGAGCTGTATTCAGTACTATCTGAATATTCAGCAGTGTGAATTCAGAGCATGTGAAATAACGGTATGAAATTTCATTGTTCAGGACAGTTTTAGTTCTGAAGGAAAACTAGAGCTTTGCATCTCCTAAAGATACGCCGAACAACCTACGTGCTGTGCAGCAACCTAGCAGATTTGCTCTGATTGTGGAATGTTAGTCTTTATCAGGAAAACTTCAAAGCTCTGCTTTGAAAATTTAAAAGCCTTGCTTTCCACTCTAGATCAGATTTATGGAAGTCTTATGATGTCAGTGAAAGATTAGGATCAGTTGTAACAGCCCTGCCAATAATCCTTCTGAAGTGACACTCCAGTGCTACAGTTGCCATGACTGTAACATAAAAACCTGTAACATCAGGGTATTATCTCTCAGATTTTGTGCAGTAGTTTGAAACCATGAAGCTTGGAACACAAGCACACTTAAACTTTGGTCTGCCTATGACCCTGATGGTCTCTTATCAAGTAGAGGAATATATTAATCCTTTCTACTAGACATCTGCTCGAAGATAACAATAGTCCTTAAAGTACAGCATGCTTGGTGCCTCACCTTTGGCTTTATCTTCTAGTTCACAAGGCTGAGATTCATCCACTGGATTAGAGAATTGAATGTTCCCAAGATGGAGAAGGCCTGACAATACCTGCAAGATAATCAAGCACGGTGTTTTCTAAAACAGAGCTCCAAGGCATTGTCCTCTTGGCCTGGCCACATCAACAGGGCAAATCAAAACATTTCTGTACAAAACAAACAAAAAAAACCAACACAAAGGAAGAAGATTCCAAATTTCTACAATAATTCCTCGTGCAGCATTACTGAAAGAAATCTACAGTTCACAGCTGCAGGCTTTTGGTTAAAAAATAATATTTGGTTATGCAACCTAATGTGTAGCTGCAGCCATTCTAGGCAGCATTGCCAAACAATCCATGGACATCTGGACATGTCTACAGAAGCAGATGTACATCAATCCCAATGCTAAAAAGACATTATAAGCATTGTCATGAGCTTTGTGGTGACCATGCATTATACCTGACCTTGAAAATATTGTTCTGAGTGGAGTGGTCAATGCCCAAGTGAAACATTGCATCTCTGGTCACCTCGAAGCAGTCCTCTGAAAAGCCAAACAGGTGTTACTTAGTAAGAAAGCCATGCACACAGAGGCATGTGGAACAATCTCCTCCACGTCCAGTTCAGCTGGAATTGTCAGAAGAGATCGAGGAAACAGCTGTTATTTTGGTAAATCCCAAACCAGATTTGGAGAATCAAATCACAGATTTGCTGCTGACTCTGGGGCGGTGAAGATGGGCAGCAGGCTGCTGAAGTGCATCCAAAGACAAGGTGGTTTTAAACGTAACCACAGAGCAATGCAAATTTGCTGGGCCAGAAACTGTAGTTTCAAGTCAGGTGAAAACTATTAGCAGTGCAAACTGAAACTTAAAACTGAATCACATTAATGCAGATGGCTTTGCAAAATCTGCTGTGGTCAGGCCAGGAGAGTGCTGGATGACTAACCTGGGTCACAGGACTTAGTGAGACAGATGCATTTTTACCTGCCTTCCCTCAGTGTCACATCTGTTATTGATGGACAGTTTGTGAAACTAATCTTTACCCTCTAAGTTTCTTTCAGAATTTGGCAGCCAGCGGTAGTCAGCCCCTTCTGGAAGGTTCCATGCCAGTCTCTCCTCTGCAGTGGCACCTTTTGTGATCTGAAGACAAAATAAAGTAATGAACAGACTCTGCCCTGGGTGTTCACATCTTGTAGATGGGGAATAATAATTGACTGGGAGTACAGATTAATTTGGAAGCATGGCAGACAGATGAACTGTTAAATATTGGAAGTTACAACTGTGCTAAATCTGGTGATTTCACACTCAGTGTTTCTCAGAAACATTTAGCAAAACTAACTGAACACAAACCTGATAAAATATATGAAAGTTTCTTTCATTGGGGGCCTGATAGGCAACTCTTGTCTTCTCCAAAAGGAAAGTCTGAATGGAAGCACTACTCAGATGGTGAAACCTAGAGGGAAAAAATAGGCAAAAGAGCAGATTTTAACAAAATTCCCCTCATCAAATTTAGAGGGAGACCACAGACAAGCTATCTAAACAGTAGTTACTACCTGTCCAAGTGAAGCTGAATATATTTCCCAAAACGGCTGCTGTTGTTGTTCCGCAGAGTACATGCATTTCCTGTGAAATTACCAGAGACATCATCAGCAGCGGTTTTACTCTTCCATGTAGGACATACAGACATTAAAAGTTGATTTGTATACAGTCCCACTATTTGAAGATTTTGTCTTTTAAGGAGAGGAAGCAAGAGGTAGCTTAAATTTGTACATTAAAAAAGAAAATTCCCACCGTGGCCACTACTTGTCCATGCTGTTAAGAAAGCTGCTTTTACCAAATGCTTCCATGATAGGGTTGGAGTCCAACACTCTCTTCTCTATCCGTTCCACAGCTTCATTGCCTTTTGGGGAGGTAACAGAAGCAGCAACAGAAGCATAAAATTTCATAAGGCAGCGAGATGTCCAGGTCTGCAAGAGAAAACAGGCCTTTGTCCTTACCATGTTATGTCAGTGAAACAGTGCTGGCTTCTGAGAACACAGTATGCATCTGGTGACAATGCTGGAGAGCAATGGTGTCAGGTTTATAGCTCCAGCTCAGCCAAAACTTTTTGTGCATCAGCTGATGCGCAACAGATACACATGAAATCCTACTGGAATCAAAGTGCTTTGCTGAATGGCAGCTTTACCAAGATGTAACCATCTGGAAGCTTAGCTGGAAGTAATAGCTAGTGTTTTAAGATGAACTGAATATTCTGAATGTGTATGTTTGGTGGCCCTGCTAGGCAGGGGGGTTGGAACTACATGATCCTTGAGGTCCCTTCCAACCCGGGTGATTCTGTGATTCTGTGATTCTGTGAATATAAACAGACTTCGAGTCACTAACACTCAGCAAACCATGTTCTCAGTCTTAAAAATATTCTCAAGTGTTTTGCTGAATAGGAATGGATATTACAGAGGGAGCTAGGACAGGGTCTGACCTCTCCTGCCTCTTAAGGGTTTGCTGAGACATGACCTTCCTAACTGACTAAGCTGAGACTTCAACTCAGGAGCAACTCCTACTGAAGGATTCAAATCCAGCCCTTCCACAAGTGGCAGATGTCACCTAGAAAGCAGTTACTGTGAGTCTATTTGACTGTGGCGACCATTTAATGCTTTATGCATGTCAGGAGAGTCTTGCTAGAGCAGGCTGGCTACATGCTCCATCTTCTTTGCTCACTGAAGTATTCTGCACTACAAATCACTACCAAATCTCAAACAATGAAAGCAATGTCAGGTCAACAGAAAGCAATCTCCTTACCTTCCCAGCACCACTTTCTCCACTAACAATGATGGTCTGGTTTATGGGGTCTATCTGGCTTTGAACATTTCTGTAGGTTTCTTCGGCCACTGCAAAGATGTGAGGTTTTAAATCCTGGCAGCAAAGCAGAATATTCATGTTTAAGAGAACAGTAATTACATAGTTCTACAGCAATGGACAGCAAGGATTTCTTGCATTTGTCTGAAAGTAGAACTCATATTTCAGTAGAAATGGGCTTCATCATTCAGAATTATTTTGCTCACACAGAGATTTTGAAGAGCCTGAAATCTGGGTCCTGCAGAAGGACAGGGATTTCAAATACAAGGATTACCTGGGGGCGAACAGCAACATGGTACTCTCTCATAAGCTCAGGTGAATAGAGGCAGGAGATGGGTTGAAATGGATTTAAAGCCACCAGGCTGCAGCCAGCATTTGTATAAAACAAGTTTGCTGTGTATCTTGCTTGAAGACATTTCAGAACTGAAAGATACACCTTCTATTAGCGTATTTGAAAAGTGTATTTGACTCTTCCTGTTTGTAACAAAAATCTTCAGATATGTTATCTGTTATGATTAACAGAGAATGAGAAGATGAGCAGGAGAAACCTATAGATCTAATATACATAATTACACCTTTAAAAGTTGCCCTTGTTCTTAAGAAGCTTAAGTACTTTGACTCCACAATTCATTAAATCGCATGCTTTTATGAGCTTGTACACAGCACATCCTAGAAAGCAAAGCTGTACATTTGCAGAGCAGAGCCAGTCCCCATCTGCACAAGGAAGATGCCTTAGCTTGTCTTAGCAGGGCCATCTTTAAAAGCCAAGTGAGGAATTCACTTTTCCAAACCAATTTTATGGACATGTGTTGAATCTACATCGGAACCTTATTTCCTGATACGTTCATATGAAACTGAACTGCAATCACAAGGTCATGCAGGAGCAATCCGGCGCCATAAACTCTCAACCAAACACTGGCTACCTAAACCAACAGTACAAATGTGAGTTTGGCATGCAAAGCTTGCTGAGAGGTCAGTATGGCTAAATCTGCAATAAAAGCGTTCACAAATTTTTCAACAAAACATGATTTTCTAAGCTGATTTGAGTAGGCTTTGGTGGGAATGGTAATGACCACGTATCAGTAACCAGCAGGGAAAGGGACCCCTCAGAAAGTGCATCTCCTGACTCACTGCTCACCTGTCGTCGTCGTCACTGGATTAACTTTTGTGAGATCATCAATAAGATGCAGCTTTTCTTCATCACTGAGAAAAGCTCTGACTTCTTCTTCAAATGATTCATTCACGTCATTCTGCGTGACGGAATCTTCTTTTTGGCAGTTTACCTAGGGAGGATGTCAGATCAGCACCAGTCCATGGCTGAGTATAGCAGGACTGTCATTTCACTCCCTACAAGCTATAGCTCTTCTACCACATCCATGTAACACATGTGCAGGTTCAGAAGGAATAATAATTTAGTGTTGGAGCTGCTGTTCCTCCCAGTTTGAAAGCAGTACCCTCCCTCTGCATCACTGCTTCCCATGGCACACTCTGTCTTTAGAAAGTATTATGTGCCATATGAGAGATGGCAGGCTGACAGCACTGTAAGTTGAATTCATTGCTGGCAGTACAGGCTGTAAGCAAAGGTGCCCAAAAAGAATGTGTCCTAAAACTCACAGGATCCATTGCTCGCAATTGTGCAGGACATTCAGCACAGACATGCTTGTACAGCGATCTTAAACTGAATACTTTTAGCCTATGGACATCACCCAGTCAGTGCACACACTGACTTGGGCAGAGGGAAGCAGGCAGGACTGGCTGCAGAGCTGAAAGCAATGAGGTCCAACACAACAGTTTTCCTAGGAAAGGCTTCCATTTTCAGAGCAGAGAGAGAGGGTCCTGAGACTGAAGTTGAAGACTGCATGCATTGCAGCCAGGGGAAAGAACTGCTAACACTGTAAGAGGTGAAGATTATATTAGGTGAAGATTTGTCTCCTTTGGATCATTAGAAGAATTTAAATCTCAGCCTCCAGGCTCCCATGCCCTTGACAACAGTAGTTGGAAGGGCACATTTGTTACACAAGTGTAATGGAAAACTTAGCCAGATGAGAGATTTCAGGTCCTGCTTGTTATGCTGCGGCTGGAAGGGAAGAGATGCCAGTCCTGATTTTTGCATTCTGGATATTCTTTTTCTGCTCCCCATCTCCTGGTCAGGAACTCCTTCAGAGTAACCCTGCTCATTTGTATTTAATAACACAAATCTGCAATTCTTTACAAGTTAACCAAGTTAATGAATAGCATCACGTTATTTCTACACAATGAATGACTTGTGCCACCTGTACAGCAGAGCTGTCGGTCCTGCTGCAAAGCGACCCTTAAGGATGTGCTTGCTCCCTGCATTAACATCATCCTGTTCATGCCAACGGCGTGACAAAAATCACCACTACTGTAAGGGCAACACAGCACGAAAGTGCGTTAGTAATGCCGTTCAAAACCGCACACTTAATGGGTGCAGTCGAGCTCCTGAAGCCGGGGTGAATATCCGTTAGCAGTTACCTAATCCTAACTGCAGGGAAACAACCGAGAATCACTTGCCGGCGGTACGAACGCGATCAGCTCACACAATTCCCGCTTTTCTTTTACCTGCTTTGGCATTTTGGCACTTCTGCAGCGCTGCGCTGCGGGCGATTCCGGCCGTGCGACAGGGGCTGAACTCGGGGTCCTTCAGGCAACCCAGTCCGAAGAGCCCTTCAACACAACGACGAGCGCTGAGGACAAGGACAGCCGTGCCGCTCCGCGGGGCTCCGCACGCAGATCCCGACGGCAGCGGAGCGGATCCGCATCCAACTGCAAAGCGCTGCGTGCGACCGCCGCGGAACAAACCGCCGCTCTCTCGAATCAAGAAAGCGAAGTTCCCCGGCAAGAATCCGCAGCCATCCCCGAGTCCCGTCGCTAAGAAGGGAGGAAGGCGCACAGAGCTACGCGAGGAAGATTCGCGGCTGTGACGGCGTCACGGGAGCGGTGCTCTGCGGCCAGCGGTGACTCACAGCAGCTCGCAGCGGGCTTCTTCCCGCCTGCTCCGCTCCCACGCGGACCCCGCGCCGCGGCACCGGGCAGGGCGTGCCGATGGGACCGCCGGCCGCGGGGACGGCCCGGCCCCGCTCCCACCCGACTGAACGGCGGGCAGCCCCAAGGTCAGCGCGCTCAGCCCGTCCCGGGCGGCGGCACGACCGCCGCGGAGGGCAGAGCCGCGTCCGACCCGCTCCCCGCTGACCTCTCAGCGGTGCCCGCGGGCGCGATCCTCCCCGGGTCGCTCTCACCGGGAACCGCGGGCCGAGCGGACGGCGCGGAGCGGACCGGAGCGGCGGCGGGAGGAAGGGGAGGAGGAGTAGGAGGAGGAGACGGGGCGGGGGTTGCGAGCACAGCTCGTGGCGAATCGGGCGCTGCGGAACAGCAGCTGCACGCCGCTGCCGGAGGAAAGTGCGGGCGGGGAGCGCGGGCTGCGTTTACATAGTGCGGGACGGGCTGAGCGCGGCGGGCCGAGTGGGAACTGCGACTTTCAGGCTCGCGTCCTCCTCGTGTCCGCTCCACACTTACGTTCCGCAGAGCGGTATGGTTGCTTACAATGTATTTGCTATCTGGAGAGTTTGGGGAGCGAGGGCTTGAAGCGTCTCGTTGGAGCGGAGCGGCTACTCGGCTTCCCCGGGCACGGCGAGCTGTGAGGGACGCTGCGGCTGCTGCAGCCCACGGCTGCCCGCACCGAGCTGCCCGTAGCGCTCACTGGGGAGAGGCTGTGAGTCCTGCTCCACGGAACCGACTCCGGTTCGTGCTTCTCATTTCAGAGGAAGGAAGCGGAATGTCGCAGAAGCACCTGAAAGAAGCCTTCGTCAGTAACCTGAACGGAACCGGCCTGCTGGAGCTGACCCTGGGCATGCCGCTGGCCCCGCTCTGCCTGCTTTGCAGAGGGCTGCTCCTGGTGCTGCTCTGCCGGCATCGCGGGAAGCCGTTAAGCTCGAGGCCTTCCGGCCTGCTGCTGGACTTCTGTGTGCTGGTCGCCCCTCTGCTGTTCTCCTGCACAGTCCTGTCTTCAGTGTTGTTCCTGGTTCCAGCCATCCTCACAGCCCTCTGTGCAGGAATATTTTTTACAATATACCGCCAAAGCCAGGTGCCCTTCAGGCAAATAGTGAAAGACTTTCAGAACACGTTCCTGGATCCGGACTACATTCCGGCCATAACCGTGTTCCGTGTTTATGTCAATGTGTTGACTTCCATCAGCATCTTAGCAGTGGATTTCCCGCAGTTTCCACGACGATATGCCAAAGCTGAGACCTATGGAACAGGAGTTATGGATCTGGGGGTTGGAGCTTTCATTTTCGGTAACGCTCTCGTTTGTCCCGAAGTTCGGCAGAAAGCGGCTGTGACACAACCCAAATTCTCCAGTCTGGCCAAGCAGCTTTTTGCCATTTGGCCATTGGTTGTTCTTGGCATTGGACGACTCCTTAGTGTTAAATCTATAGAGTACCACGAGCACGTTTCGGAGTATGGTGTGCACTGGAATTTTTTCTTTACCTTAGCCCTTGTGAGGCTTGTGGCATCTCTGCTGTTAGCCATATTTCCCAAAAATAAATCTTGGATCGTGGCTGTGACTGTTGCTGTACTTTATCAGCTCATTCTTAACCTTACCTCTCTGAAGACCTTTGTCTTGCACGGCAGCAATGGCGAAGATAGTAGGACAGGCTTTTTGAATGCCAACAGGGAAGGGCTGCTGTCCCTCTTTGGGTACCTGGCCATATACATGGCAAGCGTGCAGGTGGGGCTCTATGTGCTGAAGCGCAGAGACTCCGTCAAAGACTGGATGGGAGCAGCGTGCCTCCTGCTGCTGGCAGCTCTGGTGCTCTTTGTGTTTCTCCACATATCCCAAGCCCACGCAGACCCCGTGTCCCGCCGCATGGCCAATCTGTCCTATTGCTTGTGGGTCATCGCTCACTGCCTCACCTTCTTTGTCAGCTTCGTGGTGGCTGATCTCGTGCTGGTGTTCACAAAGCTTCTCGTGAAGGGCTCTGCTGTGCCCTCGTGCTGGCGTGCTGTGAAGGCTGCAGACAGCAGGGAGCAGCGGCAGGCAGGGGCTGTGCACATCTGCCTGATTGCTGCCATTAATAAAAATCAGTTACTGTTTTTCTTATTAGCGAATGTTATGACTGGTATTGTGAATGTAATGATGGACACCATCCACAGCAGGGCTGCACTGACGTTATGTGTACTGCACGTGTATATGTTTCTTAACTGTTTCATTATGTATATATTGCATGCCAATAACATAGTATTAAAATTTTGGTGATTCCACTCTGTCTCAAGGGGACTAGCTACACTTTGCTGTATATGAATGGAAAAAGAAGTATCTTTCCTATATTTACCAATAACATAGATATAATATTTTATAACATAGTATTTATAACAGCTCGTTAAGACTTATGGATATTTATTGTTATTTTTACTCATTCACTTCTATACTTTCTTTCACTAAACCATGCAGTCAGTGCTGTTACCTGTTGAAAAACCTTTTTTTTTTTTTTTGCTTTGCTGAATACTTGTGCTGATAGAAAGACATTAATGTACGTCTGTCTGAAGGAAGCATGTATGCAGAACAACAATGTGAATTCAAGAGGTACATCCCAGTGCTGGTAAAATTCAGTACCAGTGTATGGAGTAGAAGCCAGATGAAAACCATGAATAATTATGTAGAGAGAGACTTAACTGTAAAGATTTAGTTGGTTAAGGTCCTTGCATAAATAATAGATAAGAGTAATTCTTTATCTAAAAGGCGTAGAGTAAGTGGATGCTTTAAAATGCTTTGGCCCCAGAAAGATTTGTGCATACATTCAGCTTTGATGGCAGTAATGGTGTGTGGAATGTTAATCATAGATTGACATCTAAATTAGCCTTTGAATTAAAGCTACATTTATTTTCACCTTCAGTGCTGAATGTAAATGAAGACCCTATCTGAAGCACGATAAAACCCCACGGCAGATGAATTCATACAGGATTTGCTGGGATTTGTGGTGCAGATAATAAGAGCTGCACGAACTTCTCTAAGAAAACACAAAGATCCAAAGCTAATTCACCTGCAGCCTGCATTCCAACATGCTGTGACAGCTCATCTTTAGGAGTGCTGTAGAATATGGTCTTCAGCTCTACTTTAAGGTACTCAATGCCCACATATTTGTCTGTAAGGTTATTTTAAACAGTAGCTCATTTAGTAGTGTTTTGACAGCTGAGATGTCTTGAAATGGGAATGTTCTGTGTGAGTTGTTAGCAGGCTGTGTGCAAATGGGAAGCAGCACACTGCAGTAGGTCAGGGTACTGATGTGTGTTGGTGAGAGATGTGCTCATCTATCACAGTCTTCTTGAAAACTCAGAGCAGAACACTCTTTTCATTCACTTCCTTAAGTCTGTTAAGACTGTTCTTGACCTCATTAAGTCCCTGAGAAGAGAAATATGTTTAAAAGTCATGAGGAATTCAAGAATGCAAGATATAAACAGTATAGAAGTAGAATATAGGTGATAGCTGATGGTGAATGCCTAATGTTAGTGGAATGACAGGAGTGCACATGGGTCATATTTCAACTTTTTCTTTCTCTCTTGAATGCAATGAATCATAAAACCTAAGGGAGTTTAGGAGTGCCTCCAAATCAAATCCCTTAAGGCAGACATGCTGGGGAATGTTCTTAAATTTATGAGGTTCTCTCAGGCTTTGGCCAATAGAAAGATGCAGACTGAAGATTGTATACCATGGACACACTGAGTTCATGTTTGTTTACTTCCAAGTTATAGCCCTACAGTCTATGGAACTAAAGAAAAGCAGCCTGTATTATACTTGGAACAACTGCAATAAGCACAATTGTCAGAGTTGTTAGCAGTGCTTCCTGGGAGCTGGTGTATATATTTATTCCAAAACAATTCCAAACGTCGCCTAGGGAAGAAGGGCCTCCATCGCCGATTGGCCTGACTCGTTTGTGACAATAACTCACGGATATTCATTTCTGAAGCGTTTGAAGCACGAGGCCTGCAGTGAGCTCTGCCTGAGAGCACAAGTCTATCACAGTGGCTCAGCACGAAGGCGTTAACTGGGTGTGACAAAGCTGGGTTCTGTCTGGACAAGCAGCGCGCTGTCTGGATGTGAACTGCAATTTCATGAAGCTGGAATTCTGTGGGAGGGCTGCAGGGCCTGCAGGGGCCGGTGGGCAGCAGCTGCACCACGGAGCTGTGGCTGCAGGGACGGAGCTGAGGGCATCACATGAGGGAGAACAGGGCACAGCACCACTCCTCTGAAACCATGTGAAGCAAGCTGTTCACCGCTGAATTAATGAGCAACAATTAATTCCCATTACTTATTGTCACTAACAACCGTGGCAAGTTCTTCCCTGAAGCAACCAGCGGTTATTAATACTGAATGTTTTGACTATGAATGGATACAGATAATTAACTGTGCTCCTGCAGGAACCAAGAGATGTGCTCAGATCATAGAATCCATGCAAGGAAATGGGGAGCTGCAGGGGGCTTGAAAAGATGCAGGAGTGAATAGCAGTGGAGGCACCCAGCCCTGGTCCATCCCTGCCACCCTGTGGACAGTGACACAATTCACCTCAGTTTGGGTGTGTTAAGATGTGTAGGCTTATGTAGATCTACAGATACATATGAAAAAATGAGTCTTCATCTGTTAGGTAATTAGTAAAAGTTACATTATCAACTGTAGCATGCCACTGACATCAGTAAGAATTGTAAAGCAGAGGACCAAGAAAAGAGAAACTGTATCATTTTTGATGCTATAACTTTACAGAACAACCTGTTTGTAAGGCTGTGGGATAGAAGGAACGTAGGTGAGCAGAAATGGTCACATTCATCTTTAAGGTTGCTCCTCATGAGTCATCAGGTCCTTCTTTCCAAATTTCATTATTTTTAAATGCGTTGGGTTTTGATGCAAACCTCAGCGTGCCTTCAGTTCCAGCCCTTTGAAGTCGAATGAAGACTCACACGAAGCACAGTGCAGGTTCAGGCCGTATCCTCAGCACCACGTCCTGCAGCACGGAATCTCTTCCGAGGAGAACAAGGGCACGAAGCGAGGGCACAAAGAGCTGCCTGCCTTTACTCTGCGGGGACCGACAGCTGCGTTTCCTGCAGATCCTTCTCCAGGCATAAAAGCTACGTGAAAGGGAGCGGCGATGTTTTCGTAGCTCGTTTATTGACGCGCACACGTGTAGCTGCTGGGAGCGCAGCGTTTGGGCAGCGCCGCTGCCGTGCCTGCATCGCAACCCGTTTGTCGCACGATGCGGAACCGAGGGGAAAAGCGCCCGCCGCCAACCGCACCGCTCTGCTGCGAGGGCTTCAGTGTGCGGAGCGACGGAGCGACGCGGATCGGCAAAGGCGATCCCAGCCGCCGAGGATCCGCCACGGCGCGGCTCAGCAGCCGCGGCGTTTCGTTTTCCGTCAGTTGCGCCAAGCGCAGCGCCCGGCGATCCGCCCCTCTGCTCCCCGCGATGCGTTTCCGGCGGCGGAGGGAGGAGTGCGGCCGTTAGGGGCCGTTCGTAACGCGGCGTTGCCGCGGAGCCCCGCGGGATAACGGACGGAGCGACGCCTCCCGCAGCCTCGGCCGGACCGGGCGCTGCCCGCGGGTGAGGCGGGGCGGAGAGCGGCGAGATCTCGCGAGAGGACGGCGGGGCGGAGCCGGCGGCGGCGGCGGGGAGGGTTCGGGGAGGGGGAGAAGGAGAGGAGGGAGGCGGCTCTGTGGCGGAGCCCGAGGTGTCCGCCCGCCTGTCACAGCGCCCGGGCCGCGGACTCGCGGAGCGCCGGTAAAGGCCGGGGCCGGGGGGGGGAGTGGAGCGGCGCGGGTCGCGGGGAGCGGGAGGGACGGAGGGCGGGCGGCTCCTGGCTTCCTCTGAGCCGTCGCCCGCGGGCCGCGGGCCGGGCGGGGCCGGGAGGAGCCGGGCCGCGGGAGGGCCCTGCCGGCCGCGGGCCCCGAGGCTCTCCCGTTCCCTCAGCCCGGCCCGCTGGCGGTGCTGGGGAGGGACGGAGCCGCCGGGGGGCCGCGGGCGGGCGGGAAGGGGGTCGGCCCGGCGCTTCCGTCTGCTCCGCCGCCCGCCCTGCCCTCCCGTCGCCCCTCGCTCCCCGGCTTCTGCCCGTGGCCTTCCGAGCTCCTCCGGCGCCGTGCGGGAGCGGTGGGCCCGGCGCGGCGCGTGGTGAATCAGGCGATGCGGAGCGCAGGCTCGCTCTCTGCTGGTGGTGAAAGTGTGCCGGCGGAGCGCGGCGGGCCTTTACCTCTGGGCGCTCCCTGCTCGCAGGCTGCAGCGCGGGGACGCGGCGGAGATGGCGCGGCTGGTGGCGGTGTGCAGGGACGGGGAGGAGGAGTTCCCCTTCGAGAAGAGGCAGATCCCGCTCTACATCGATGACACCCTGACGGTGAGTGCCGGCCCCGCTCCGCTCGGCGGCGGGGCGTTGCGAGGCCTTTCCCGGGCTCCTCCCGCGGCGATCGGCTCCGCGCTGCCCGGGGTTACCGGGCTCTGGGCCGAGCGGCTCCGTGTGACCGGTCGGGACTGAGAGTGAGTCGCTGCCCGGGGCCGGGGGTGGCTCCGAGCCCGGGCCGGAACGTGGAGCGCAGCCGGTTCTCGGTTCATAAGGAAAGGACCCCTAGAATGGCTGATTCGTGTGAACGTTAAACCCACGTCTGTGTTGGAGTGGTTGCCGTACTTTAAAATAGGCAAAGAAGGGCTGAAGGTATTTTCCACAGCTTCGCCTTAAGGTAAGGGTTACTGAGCATGCAGCAATGTGCTACTGCATCTACAGCGACAGAGCTGCGAGCTTCCATTCACTGTATGATGTGGGTCCCTGAAACGGGGGCTTTGCTGCTCTGGAAGGTGCAGCCCAAAGCCTGCTCTGCCACCCTGCTCGGGAGAAGCACCCACATGGCAGGAGCATGTGCAGCAGCTCTGCCGGCCAGCATTGCTCTCAGCCCTGACAGTAGGGGAAGGTCAGGTTGAGAACTAAACACGCTGTAACCAGGTATCCCACTCGTGTGAGTTCTGGTGTCAGCTTTGTGCCATGTGACAGTCACTGATGTTGCTTATATGATGTATAGTGTATGTGCTTTCAAACCCTGACCTGATTCGCCTTTTTCTTTTCTCTTAAATGTTTCCAACTTCATAATTTATATTCTTCCGTCTTCCAGCTCAAAACATTTGAGCACCTCCAGTCTGTAAGCCTGCAGTGACACTGATGAAGACTCTGTCTCAATCCCATCTGGTTTTGCATTGTTTGCTGGGGGGCTCTTTGCTGTATTTTGGTTTTGATTG